TCTGGAAGGACATGTTTTCAATTGTGTTTTATGGCCGAGTCCTGGCCAAGTGTCCAGTCTCTGGACAACACCACCCTGGCGACTTCCCGCTGGAAAGTTTTGCACTTCCCTGACCCTGTCCCTGGGCTCAGCATGTGCTGAGGCCGGAGCTGGCTGGAGTGTGGCTGCCCCTGGTCTCCCCTTCACGTTTCCCTCTGGGGTTCACCTCGTCCACACCTCCCATCTGACCGCGGGGAGCGGCACCCCCACATCTGCTGTGTCCTGGGAAACACCTCTGCCTCGAGCCGCCAGGAGTCTCCTCCGAGGACCCTCACGCTGTCCTGGCCCCACAACCTCTTGTCCTCCCCCAGGCACTGACTCATGGACACATCTGTGTCCTCACATGGACCCTCTCTGCCCTGTACTGCACCCAGAACACGGCCCAGTGCCGGAGGTGGGCCGCAGAGATCCTCCCCGCACGCGTGGGCGTCCTGAGTGTGTCGGGCTGAGCACGCCTCTCTCTGCAGACTGCACACGCGTGTGTCCGCCTCCCCTGACATGCTGTTTCCTCAGCCCCTGCCGGGCCACAGATCACGGGCCAAGCTTGAAGATGGAAGTGTGCTCCTCTCCGATGGGCAGCGTTGGTTTTGATGTTGGGCTCTGACTCTCATCAATGGGACGAGATCAGGCAAACGGCTTAACAGGATCAGCCGCGGCGCCCTCCTCTGTAAACTGGGAAGAACCAACACGCCTGCCCCGGCCGCAGCGAGGACGAGGTCTGACCCTGTCGGACCGTTTGGGAGGAGCACCTGCTCGTGAGTGAGCGGCTGGAGCTCCGCTCTGGTACAGAGCACAGGGTCCACCTGGGGCCTTTCCCCTTAGCGGCTGGTGAACTGGGCAGTGAAGTCCTTTAAGCCTCAGTTTCCCCATCTGTTACTGGGATGCAGTCTCATCAGGATTTTCCTCTATCGTTTACTCACCCTCTTCACACCATCTGTGCTCGGTCAGGCCAATGCTTAGAAGCTCCAATTACTGGTGTCACCATGGTCATTGTCATCCTCATCCAACTTCACCACCATCATTGACATTGTCACCATCACCATCATCATCACTGTCACATCTTCACCACCACCACCACCACCATCATCATCATCACCATCACCATCATTAGCACCATCACCATCATCACCATCATCATCACTATCACAAGCATCACCATCATCACTGTCACCACCATCACCACCACCACCACCATCATCACCATCACTACCACCATCACCATCACCACCACCATTGTCGCCACCATCATCACCACCACCACCACCACCACCATCATCATCATCACCATCACCATCATTAGCACCATCACCATCATCACCATCATCATCACTATCACAAGCATCACCATCATCACTGTCCCCACCATCACCACCACCACCACCATCATCACCATCACTACTACCATTGTCACCATTACCACCACCGTCACCATCACCACCACCATCACAACTATCACCATCACCATCCTCATCATCCAGTTGCAATCCTCATCACTGTCACCGTCGTCACCACCACCATCCTCACGGCTGCCATCTCCATCGTCATCACACTCACACTGGCTCTCGCTCGGCTCACTCCTGTCTGTCTGGTCCGCGCCTCACCTCATCACAACACTTTGGTAACGTGCTCACAGGCCCCTTAGGATCCCCCTCAGTGGCCCCTGATCTCAGAGGAGGATTTCTGCCTGCAGATCGCTGACCAGGGACCTCGCAGCCTGGGGGGTCACGTCTGCCCCGGGAGGTGACTGTACCATTCGTGGGACTGTCCTGTGCGCATCTCTACCTCAGCGTCCTCTTCGCTGGACGAAAGGTAACGACAGCTCTGTGCTGTAGGGGTGTCACGATGAGAAACGGGCACGAAGCCCCCAGCAGGCGCCGGCTGTGCTGGGCCCCTGCTCAGTGAGTGGCCGGGTCCTTGGCTGGGACAGCTGCTCTGTGACTATAAACACGCAGACACCGGGCCCACATTCGAGCTCCAGGAACCTGCTCGTTGGGAGCATGGGTTGAAATGGTTTTTGATATTCTGTCCTGGGGCCAAGGCCTGCTCGCTGGGTTAGCCTTGGAAAGTTAGAACCAATGGTCAGCTAAGGTGGAATCATTCAGCCTGAGGGGTTTCCTGCTGTGAGTGCGCGGAATGTTCTGGGCTGTGGCAAATGCACTCACATTGTGCGGCCGCGGGGAAGTGCCCATTGTCTTGGCTGTCGCTGTTTCTATTTCAGTTGCAGCCCAGCGTCCAGAGTCCTGCCGGTCATGCATGTGGACTCGGGCTAAAGACGTGAGGAGAAACAGCGTTGCTTTTATTTAAGTCAGGAATACGTGTTCACAGAAGCAAATATGGGAGAAAAACTTTAACAGAGAAAAACAACCCACATAACCTTTCCCTAAACAGCCACTTTCACCTTCTAACATCCCGCTCAACAGGTAGGTACACAGATTAGACATGCGTGTGTATGTATACACGGGGAATGTGTGTGTGATATACGTGTACGTGTGGGACTTGCTCTTTATGTGGCTGCTGTGGATATAACGTGTGTATCGGCTCACACACAGCATTCACGATGTAACGACTGGGCCCTGGAGAGGAGTGGAGACAGACAGACCGGATTCGCTGCGAGTCCGCTCCTTGAAGCCTGACGGCCCAGCAAAAGCCTTACTTTGTACCTCCTGGCGTTGTCCACGGTTACCCTGTCACGGCTGTACCGATGCCATCACTGACAGCGAATCCGTGGGCTGGAACTCCCGACTC